AAGCCATCCATGCCTAGCCTGTGTTGACTTCATCCTAAGGCAAGCTGGCCTTCATGGGTGCAAAGGAACAGCTACTGGCTCATATTCCTTCCAATCCTCGCAGCCGCACTGAAGAGAGTACCTTTTCTTCATTTTCAAGATAGCTGGGTCTCTTTTATAGCTGCCACCTCAACCTACTGTGCAACAGGTACAGAGGCCAGTTCTACACTTGGTATGCAGCAGCAGCATTGGGCAACTCTGGGGAAGGTGTTAAAATATACATTATAAGGTCTCACACCAGACCTACAGAATCAGGACTGGGGTTGGGGCCCAGCAATCTGTGTTAATAAGCCTTCCAGGTGGTTCTGAGGCTTGCTCAAGTTTAAGAACCACTGGGTTACAGAACAGGCTTTAGGGGAATACATACAGACCAGCAGTTAGTAGGAAAATCAGGCACAGGTGTGGGTGGATACTCTAGGGAGGCACCCACCTGTTTCTCTCCCTTGTACTAGGGCAAGTATGAGAACACTGAGCATGGGTGATCAGACTATTATGATGCGAGGCAGTGTAAATTTAGGCACCAATGACCTATGGGAGTTGTCAGGAAAAACCCACCACCCAGCACCTGGAGGTCTTCAGAACCCTTGGAAGGATGTAACTCCTCACACCAGGGAGCAGCAGCCTCTAGTCTTGGGGGAATCTGAGTCTAAGAAGCCCACAGAGTGAATCCTAGGTCACTCTTGCACCACACCAGATTTCCAGCAAAAGTCCTAAAGTCCTGGGATTGAGTCCAGACCAACTTGAGCCACATGTCTGTCTTTGAGCCAATTTAGAGAAGTGATCAATGTGGAACTGATTGAAGCTTGGATCACTGCGCACCGCTGCCTCTATCATTTCAAGCAGGTTTCCTAGCTCGGTCCCCTGGGCTAGTCCTGAGTAGGTCTCAGGGATGAGAATCTGAATTCCTGGGGTTTCCTGGAACCTCAGACTCCCAAAGCAGAGGTATCCTGAGAGTGACTTCCTAGAGTTCTCACTGGCATTATCAGTCCCTGTGATCCTTCCTGGGTTTCAGTCCATGCTACTTCCAGGCCCTCTAAGCTCATTACTTCTGAACTGAAAAGGGATTCCAGCACCTCTATCCTAGCAGACCCCTCCAACCATAGCCAGTCATACAGAGATGGGCACCGGGCTTGGTGTGCAGGGAAGAGCCCTGACATGGACTCAGGGCAGGACACCCCGACATACAGAGTGACCCTGGATAAGTCACTTCTCTGGGCCTCCATTTCTCCATATACAAATCCTGGGGTCTGCTTCATGACTCTAAGCTTCTCCCCTAGTTCTATGATTTCTCTAATTTTCTAATTTCCTAAGTATCCTAAATTCCCTGCTCTCAAAACAGTTCCCTTCCACCACCTGGTGTCTGACACAGCCCTTAAAACTCTGCATAAAACTCCTCACTAATGTTCTATCATTTGAGCCTCAAGACAGCCATCTGAAGTAGGTATTTCTGTCCCTGCGGCTAACATAGTGAGTCAGCAGCAGACTCAGGCCTCCTCCTCTAAAGTTCAGTCCACTGCTCCATAAACAGCCACCTTCCGCCTATCTCACAGGCCTCATCTTCCCATCTCTCTTTCCTGGAAAAAAAATCCAGCCAGGGGTAGGCCTGGATACTGCAGGACCCTCGGCCAATTCCTTTGTTCCCCATGAAGCTTTGATGGGGAAATCCCAGATTATCAGGAGTGGGGGCGTTGCAGGTAGAGCAGGAGACACATCATCCTTCACTGTGGGTACCTGGTCAGTGTCACACGTGACAGATTAGCAGATCTGAGATCAGAGGGAAGTCTGAGACCAGATATGAAGGACTGTGTTTACTACAAAATAAAAGATTCTGAGAACTGACAGGACATCATCTAACAGGGAAGGAAAAGGCTGGGATAACAGAAACCAGAACCCCTGGAAGAAGGGAGGTTGGGGGCTACATGGGGTCTGGCAGGAGGAAGCATTCTGATAGCACTTCCCATGTCCGGGAGGAGACACCCTAGAGGAAAGGGAGGGTGCACACGTGCAGGCCAGCTGCTGTGCAGAAGGTGTTCAACCTCTCTGGCTGACACAAACAGCAGCCTCTCCTTTTTTCTACTGCGAAATCATTGTCCCAGCAGCTGCCCCAGTAGAGTAACTGAGGCAGGGCTCTGGGTAGCCCTCTGGGTTACAGTTCCAGAGTTCCTGATCCAGTGTTGGGGAATCTGAAACCAGGCTCCCTTCCTAAACCTGGCCTTGCTGGTGTGGAAAGGGCTTGGATTTTGGTCTAAGTCCTACCACATACAAAAGTCAGCTCACGCTCATGGGTCCTCTCAGAGCCTCAGACATGGGAATTCAAGTCTCTATGAGGAATAAATAAGACCATACCTAAGGCCAGGTGAGGTGGCTCAAGTCTGTAATCCAGGACTTTGGGAAGCCAAGGCAGGCAGATCACCTGAGGTCAGGAGTTTGAGACCAGCCTGGCCAACATGGTGAAACGCTGTCTGTACTAAAAATACAAAACTTAGCTGGGCATGGTGATGGGCACCTGTAATCCCAGCTACTTGAAAGGCTGAGGCATAAGAATCGCTTGAACCCATTAGGTGCAGGTTGCAATGAGCTGAGATCATGCCACTGCACTCCAACCTAGGCGACAGAGCGAGATTCCATCTCAGAAAAAAAAAATACTGCAAACAAGGCCTTCCTTATGTCACTCAGGTGCATTTGCACTCAAACAGAAGAGGTGGAGTTATGATGCCAAATACAGGCAAGGAAGGGCCAAGCATGAGCTTACATAAAGTCGACCTGTGGGGAATGGTCAGCCTCAACCTCTCTACCTCATGATCCCTTATTTCTTTCTCGACTCTAAATAAGAAGGAATACTAAAGAGAGCCCAACCCCAGCCACTGCCTTCTGCCAAAACATCATGCCTGAAGTGAAACGGTTCTCATTTAGATACTTCACATTTGTCTCAGATGAGACCGTGGCCCTGGACTCGGACCAACCTGAGTTGGACTTCAGGTGTTACATCCCTGTATGATCTTGGATCAGGTCATTTGGCCTAACTCCCCATTAGTTAAATATGGTGGTAATACTACCTTAGAGTCAAAGTCTTGAGAATACACAACATATAAGCAACAATTGTGGAAGATTCAATTAAGCGGGGACTTCCCAGGAGTCTGTATGGCTCAGAGATTAAAACAAAGGTCTCTGCCAGGCCAGGTGGTTCACACCTGTAGTCCCAACACATTGGGAAACCAAGGCAGGAAGATTGCTTAAACCATGTTAGAGACCAGCGTGGGCAAAATAGCGAGACCTTAACTCTATTAAAAATAATTTCAAAAAAAGATTTCATCCTGGTGTTCAAGGCCTCTCCCTCCTGACTCAGGGTACCTGTCCAGTCCTCCATAGCTCCTTCTACACCACAGCCAAACAACTCTTCCCATATTCCCTCACTCAGACTCTTGCTTAAACTGTCTGCTGCCTGGAGTACCCTTGGCTTTAACTTCTCCTACTAAAAATCTTCAGTTCTTTCAAAATCCAGCAAAAGCACCACCTCTTCTTGGATGCCTTTCTCCTACTGTTGCCAGACACTGAACTCTAAAACTGAGCAGAAAAGCTGGGCACAGTGGCTCACACCTGTAATCCCAGAACTTTGGGAGGCAGAGGCGGACAGATTACCTGAGCTCAGGAGTTCGAGACTAGCCTGGCCAACATGGCAAAACTTCATCTCTACTAAAAACATCAAAATTAGCCAGGAGTGGTGGCAGACTCCTGTAATTCAGCTACTCGGGAGACTGAGGCAGGAGAATCACTTGAACCTGGGAGCAGAGGTTGCAGTGAGCCAAGATCGCACTGCACTTCAGCCTGGGCAACAGAGTGAGACTTTGCCTCAAAAATATAAATAAATAAACAAACAAATAAAACTGAGCAGAAAAAGGAAAGTGCCAGGAGATGGCAAAACTGTCTGTGTACCTGCCTTCACCTTTTAGTTTGAGATCCTAGCCAGCTGGGATCAGATCTGAAACATCACAGCATGTCCTTCAGGCCTTCCATTCAGTGAGTGGATGGCCCTTAGGACAGTCTCCAATTAAGGAGGGCTCTTATTTTTCTTTGATTTTCAAGATCAGAACAGGGGTTCATTAAATGATTATTTAGGCAAATAGGAGGAAGTCCAACTTCCCATCTGCCTTCCTATGACTCAAATCATGATGAGGCTTCTTGTGTGACTTCAGGAAAGTCACCTCTATAAATCTGAATTCTTGTCTATGAAATTAAGATAATAATATTACTAAGATTGTTGTGGTATAAAGTAAATCAACTGCAGAGCCACTGGCACCCAATATGTGTGCAATAAATAGTAGTTCCCCCAAGGCACACTGGATTAATCCAAAGAAAAGTATAAATGGGGAGGAAAAAATTGAATAGAACCAAAAAATAAGGTAGAGGAAACAAATACAGAGATTACAATAATTATAAGTGATTCATCTACTAAATGACAGTCTCAGGTTAAAAACAGTTTACAAAATACATGTCTGAAAAGATGAGAGTTCCCTCTTTAGGCTGGGTGCGGTGGCTCACATCTGTAATCCCAGCACTTTGGGAGGCTGAGGCAGGCAGATGACTTAAGCTCAGGAGTTCAAGACCAGCCTGGCCAACATGGCAAAACCCCATCTCTACTAAAAATACAAAAAAAAATTAGCCAAGTGTGATCTCAGCTACTCGGGAGGCTGAGGATTACTTGAACCCGGAAGGTGGAGGTTTCATTGACCCAACTGCACCACTGCACTCCAGCCTAGGCAACAGAGCAAGACTCCATCTCAAAAAAAAAAAGAGTTCCCTCTTCACGTTTCCCATTCTTTGAAGCCTAAGGACCACCTGCAGCCCTTGCACTGCAGACAAACCTAGTCAGTGCTTCATCAGTTCATGACTATAAGCCCTTATTCATGGCATAAAATGGTGGCAAGTGGATTATCTATAAAATAAAGGCTCAAAATTCTTTTAGGCACCAAGATTTTTATTTACCCACATTCCTGCTTTCTTTTAACATTATAAACATTATAGGCCAAACTATTCTCTTTTTGATCCAGGGTTGTGATAGAAACCATCTGGTTACAAAGTGGTGGCAGAGCTATGACTGCTTTTATGTTTTCCTGGCCCCTCTCAACCTGTCACTTTTCTGTTCTTTCTCAGTTGCCTCTTAAGTCTATTCTAACCCCTATAAAACAAGGACTAAAAGTACTAACCTCATTGTTATGAGGTTTAAGAGAAGGCCCAGCACTAAGCCAGGCCTTGAGGAAAATTCAAACAACAGTTCCTCTTTGCCCTTCAGTATACTTCTTTCTCATCTATCTGTCATGCGCTTAGGAATCACTGGACCTGTAAACCAAGCACACAGGTCTAAGCCCACAGACCAGGTGAAGGCCTCGATGGCAAAATATACATGGGCTTTGTGACTCCACTACTGATTTCAAGGCTAAGGAGGGTGAGCAGTTCCAAGACCACTGAGCTCATGGTTCTCATGGCTGGTACCTCCATCATGACCAGGGCTTGAGGAGGGGCCTCTCAGTTCCCACTGCCACACCTGGAACAGTATGAGAGCTGCAGCAGAGGCCAAAAACTCAGTGACCAGCCCCAGAGTCCATGGGGAACACTGACAAACCAATCACAAAGTTGGTGCCGTTTGTTCTTAGGGAGGAGAGGCAGGGCCTGGGCAAGGACAGCAGCTGGAAGGCGAAGCGCAGACCTGGCTCTCAGTAGCGGTAGTGATCCGGCTTGAAGGGGCCATCACGGGACATGCCCAGGTACTGAGCCTGCTTCTCTGTCAGCTGAGTCAACTTCACGTTCAGCTTGCCCAGGTGGGCTTCAGCCACTGCCTCATCCAGCTGGGAAGAAACAAAGGAAGACCAAGAATCAGTGCCATGCTCTGGGACCCCTACATGTGTCTGGCTGCCAATAGAGGCAGAAGTGTTCTGTTGAGGTATTTGCCATGTGTGATACTCACGTTAACCCATTCTATCCTCACACCTAGACTCAGTTAATATGTTGTTTTGGCTGCCCAGCCCCCCTCAAAAGGGAACCATGCTACACCCTCACCTCCATGTAGCCCTGACATCAATTACATCAATTATATATATCTCCTTCCTCATTCTTCAACCCAAGGAGCTAACCAAAACACTTCTGTGGAATTGGTCTATGGACAGGACATATTTTCCATGATAGGTAGAGACAACGTGCTCCAATCCCACTGGGATTCCTAAACAGGGAAGGGTGTGTATCAGTCTCAGCTCACCAGTCGTAAGTCTATTTCACAAGTGAAATGAAGGCAGATCCAAGAGATGGAAAGACAGAGCTATTACAACACTGAATCCTAGGTTTCCAGTGTTTGGATCCAAGAATAAAGCTTTTTTGGATTAAACTGGTTCCTTTTATGACTAAAATGTATCTATAAGTTATTTGATACTCCTTTCTTTAAGAATTAGAGCCTTGGGAGAGAGATCCAAGATGGCCATTTAGCAGCAGCTCAGGATTGCAGCTCCCAGTGAAGGTGCAGGAAGTGAGTGGACGCCAGACTTTCAGACGAATTTTTGTTGCCCACAGACCAGGAGATTCCCAGAGGAGGAGCCCCACGGGTCGCCAGCACAACTCTTTTGGCTGGCGCAGCTGTTTTGCCGGCGTCCTGGCATGGTGGTTCTCAGTGCAGAGTATGCGGGATTGGGTGCCCTTTTAGTTGGTGTTTGGAGCTTCGGGAAGGCAGAGTCACACATTCAGCTGATTGAAAAGGGGACTGAAGCGGGGAGCCACACCAGGAGATTCCTGGGCAGAAAAGCACCACGAATCTCAGTGTTGCTGGCATGCCCCACGGGAAATTGCATAAATCCCGGAGCCTTTTCAGCGGGCCACTGGGCACCTGGGAGAGAACTAACCGTTCAATTAGGAAAAGAGAAAAAGGGGACTCTGAGGCAGGGAGCCAGGTGATCGGGCTTGGCTGGTCCCACCCTCACAAAAAAACAGCAATTGGAAGCGCTAATGGTTGAGAGTTTCACAGCAGGCACAGCTGAACCTGGAAAGGTCCAGCTCTGTCAGGGGAGGGGCATCTGCTGAAGGAAAACAAAGAAACAGAAATAACACCATCACCAACAAACTGGACGTCCACTCAGAGACCCAATCTGAAAGTCAGCAATTACAAAGACAACAGGTGGATAAATCCACAAAGATGGGAAGAAACCAGTGCAATAAAGGCTGAAAACATCTGAAATCAGAATGCCTCTCCTCCATCAGAGGGTCGCAGCTCCTCATCAGTAAGGGAACAAGGCCTGATGGAAAATGAGTGTGATGAATTGTCAGAATCAGGCTTCAGAAGGTGGATAATAAGAAACTTCTGTGAGCTAAAAGAACCTGTTCTAACCCAATGCAAAGAAACTAAGAACCTTGAAAAAAGGTTTGATGAAATGCTAATGAGAATAGACAATTTAGAGAGGAATATAAGTGAATTAATGGAGCTGAAAAACACAATACGAGAAATTCGCAAAGTATGCACAAGTTTTAACAGTCGAATTGACCAAGCAGAAGAAAGGATATCAGAGGTCGAAGACCAACTCAATGAAATAAAATGAGAAGACAAGATAAGAGAAGAACGGGTAAAAAGGAATGAGCAAAGTCTCCAAGAAATATGGGACTATGTGAAAAGACCTAATCTACAGTTTAAGACCTAATCAGGTACACATTCAGGTGTACCTGAATGTGACAAAGAGAATTAATCCAAGCTGGAAAATATTCTTCAGGATATTATTCAGGAAAACTTTCCCAATCTAGCAAGGCAGGACAATCAACTCCAGGTAATGCAGAGAACACTACAAAGATATTCCTCAAGAAGAGCAACCCCAAGGCACATAATCATCAGATTCACCAGGGTTGAAATGAAGGAGAAAATGCCAAAGGCAGCTAGAGAGAAAGGTCAGGTTACCTATAAAGGGAAGCCTATCAAACTCACAGCAGATCTCTCAGCAGAAACCCTACAAGCCAGAATAAAGTGGGGAGTCAATATTCAACATCCTTAAAGAAAAGAACTTTCAACCCAGAATTTTATATCGAGCCAAACTAAGCTTCATAAGTGAAGGGAAAATAAAATCTTTTGTGAACAAGCAAGTACTCAGAGATTTCATCACCACCAGGCCTGCTTTACAAGAGCTTCTGAAAGAAGCACTACACATAGAACAACCAGTATCGGCCATTCCAAAAATATACCAAAAGGTAAAGAGCATCAACATAATGAAGAATCTATATTAACTAATGGGCAAAACAGCCAGCTAGCATTAAATGGCAGTATTAAACTCACATATATTAATATTAATCCTAAATTTAAATCAACTAAATGCCCTAATCAAAAGACACAGACAGGCAAATTGGATAAAAAGCCAAAACCCATCTGTATGCTGCATCCAGACCCATCTCACATGCAAGGATACACAAAGACTCAAAACAAAGGGATGGAGGAAGATTTACCAACCAAATGGAGAGCAAAAAAATAAATAAAATAAAAAGCAGGAGTTGCAATTCTCGCCTCTGATAAAATAGACTTTAAAGCAACAAAGATCAAAAGAGGCAAAGAAGGACACTACATAATGGTAAAAGGATCAATGCAGTAAGAAGAGCTAACGATCCTAAATATATACGCACCCAATACAGGAGCACCCAGATACATAAGGCAAGTTCTTAATGACTTATAAAGAGACTTAGACTCCCACACAATAATAGTAGGAGACTTTAACATCACATTGTCAATATTAGATCAACGAGACAGAAGATTAACAAGGATACCCAGGACTTGAACTCAGACCTGGAACAAGTAAACTTAATAAACATTTATAGAACTCTCCACCCCAAATCCACAAAACATACATTCTTCTCAGTACCACATCACACCTACTCTAAAAGTGACTACATAATTGGAAGTAAATCACTCCTCAGTAATTGCATAGCATTTCACAGGTTCAAATAAAATATTGGTTGGCTGCTTGTTTGTTATTTTCCTCCCTTATTCCTTTCTGTCTCCATTGTTAAGCACAATTATTGGCATTAAAGAGGTTTTTAATACCGATTTTTAGACTGCATTCTAGCCTGAGTAATAAAGCAGAAGTCCCGTTCTCTCCCTCTTTCTCTTCCTCTTTCTCTCTTTCATTCTTTTTTTTCTTTCTTTTTTCTTTCAAAAAAAAAGTAAACAGAAAATTTGAAGTTTCACATTATGTAAATATTAAAAAAAAAAAAAAGAAAAAATCTTAGGCATAGCTTGATAGTGAGAAATGCATTTATATTCCCCTCCAGAACAGTTTCCTTATAACTCAAATACACTTTTAAAAGTATTTTAATTTGACAAAAACTACAGCAAAATTAAATCTTGAGGAGGTAGATGTACTTTTGTATATAGTTTGCTAATACGGACATTAAAAAAAGCATTTTATGGGGAGGTATTTTGAGAGTATGTAAATATGTCATGCCACTTAGACTCTCACCCACTAGTTTTAGTATCTATGGATGTTTCTTGATTATTTATTATTATTTTGGTCTATTGTGTTTACTTCATTTATATGTCATCATTCTGCTACAGAGAAAATCTCTCTTTTCTTCATTTACTTATGGTTTAAAAAATGTATATCACGGCCGGGCGCGGTGGCTCAAGCCTGTAATCCCAGCACTTTGGGAGGCCGAGGCGGGTGGATCACGAGGTCAAGAGATCGAGACCATCCTGGTCAACATGGTGAAACCCCGTCTCTACTAAAAATACAAAAAAAAAATTAGCTGGGCGTGGTGGTGCGTGCCTGTAATCCCAGCTACTCAGGAGGCTGAGGCAGGAGAATTGCCTGAACCCAGGAGGCGGAGGTTGCGGTGAGCCGAGATCGCGCCATTGCACTCCAGCCTGGGCAACAAGAGCGAAACTCCATCTCAAAAAAAAAAAAAAAAAAAAAATGTATATCACAATGAATACATAGGTTCTATTTTATTCAACAAGTTCCTTAAAAAAAAAAAGAGCCTCGCTGCCTCCCCTACTCCACTGAGTGATTCATTTCTAATGAATAAAAGAAAGCAGAAGGGACAGTGTATGACTTTGGACACAAGTTCAGAAAGATCCTGTGGCTTCCTCCTTGCTCTCCTCTTGATGACTTACTCTGGGGGAAGCCAGATGCCATCTCCTGAGGACATGTAAGCAGCCCTCCAGAGAGGCCCATGCATGAAGAATTGAGACCTCCTGTCAATAGCGATGTGAAAAGGATCTTCCAGACCCAGTCAAAACTTCAGATGATTGCAGCCCTGGCAGAAATCTTGACTGCAACCTCATGAAAGTGCCGGAGTCAGAACCAGCCAGCTAAGCTGATCTCAAATTCTTCACCCACAGAAACTGAGATAGTAAATATTTATTTTGAAGCCAGTAAGTGTGGGAGTTAAATTGTTAAGCAGCAATAGATAACTGATACACTGGTTTGAAGTCTTTCTATCACTTGTGACCAAAAGGATTCTAATACACTGCCATCCTCCTTTTATAAAATGAGGAAATCAACGTTCAGAAAAGTGAAATGACTTGTCCACAAAGCTAGTAAATGACAGAGCTAGGATTTGAACCCAGGTCTGTCTGGCTTCAAAGCCCCCAAATGTGTCTCAAACATCCCAGCTTATGGCCTCTAGGGCAGCTTTGAAGAGATTACACAGAAACCAAGGAGGACAGAGCCAAGAATTAAATAAAAGCAAGCCTTTAACTCTCATGAGCACTGAAATGCATAGACGGAGCCTGAAAAGAAGGTCACGGGGCTGCACGGAGAGAACACTGTACAACTCCAAGTGCTTCCCACTTTCTCAGCTTCTAGCTCTGGGTAGGGCCTCTCCTTACCACTTAGGAAGCAATTCCCATCCCATGATGGCAGGGCAGCCTTTGACCACAGCTCAGCCCACAGCTTTTACATTCCCAAGTGGTTTCACATCCACTGTTTGATTACAGCCTCCCAAACACCCCTAAGAAGTAGGATGGGTGGAGTTTATCCTTGTATCTTCAGAAGAAGAAACAAGCCTGCAGGTGATGTTCTCAGCCTTGAGGCAGGCAACAGCAGGACCAGGGCCCAGCCTAGAACTGAATCCATGTCGGTTCTAGAGGTAGAACGAAGGCCTCCAACCCCCAGAGTACACATTGAATCAACTTTTGCTTGGCCTAGACTAGCCAGCCCAGAGCTTTTTCTTCTCCCAGCACCCTGAGCCAGAAGGTGTGTGTCACATCATAACGTCACCTTGGACAGTTAGGTTCTATTCCTGGCCCCAGTTAGGTTCTATTCCTGGCCCAACACTTAACACCTGTGAGAGCAAGTCAATCACTAAACCTTAGCTTCCTCAGTCACAGGATGGATCATGCATCTCTCACAGCAGTTACAAAGATCAGTGATACTCGGAGTGGTTAAGTGCAAGTAGGTGACTTAACAAATGGTGGCTGCCTTCTCTGTCATTGTTGACCAAGGTACCCTGTCCCTTGCCTACATATAGCATGTGAGGCATGATGCCAAGAATGTCCTGTCCCCAAGCCACGTGTTAGCAACGATGAAGAAAGTGGCAAGGACAGGGCCAGGAGGTGACAGCTTTGCCTCTTCATTTTTTATTTTTATTTTTTGAGACGGAGCTTCACTCTTGTTGCTCACGCTGGAGTGCAATGACACCATCTTGGCTCACTGCTACCTCTACCTCCCAGGTTCAAGAGATTCTCCTGCCTCAGCCTCCTGAGTAGCTGGAATTACAGGCATCTACCACCACGCCCGGCTAATTTTTTGTACTTTTAGTAGAGATGGGGTTTCACCATGTTGGCCAGGCTGGTCTTGAACTCTGACCTCAGGTGATCTACCTGCCTCGACCTCCCAGAGTGCTGACATTACAGGCGTGAGCCACCGCGCCCAGCCAAGAGCTTTGCCTCTTTCACTTTCAACCCTGGCCTCACCTGACCAATTTCTCACCAAAATCACAGCCATATTTCTCCCAACTGGGATCATACAGGGATCAAGTGAGAATCTTTCAACCCCACAAACCAGCTGCACAGAACAAGGTGCCTCTTGAGGTCCTTATGAGTAAAACATTTGGTCCAACAAGACAGTGCCCCAGGGAAATTAGTCATAGGCTGGCCTTGGAGGCAGATGACCTAGGCCTAGAGTCCAGGCCTCTTCCTACTTATTCCTCAGCTGGCAGAACCTCCCTTCCTCCTTCCCTCCTTCCTCGCCTGGCATCTATCTATCTATCTATCTATCTATCTAGATAATGCGCCTGGCCAGGGATGTATCATCTTATTACAAGGCCATAAACATGCAGCCTGCAGATTGCATTCAACTTATACACATGTCCAAGTTAACCCACCCAGTTATTTTTTTAAATTATAATGAGTCTGGGTGCAGTGGCTCACATCTGTAATCCCAGCACTTTGGGAAGCCAAGGTGGGTGAAATCACTTGAGGTCAGGAGTTTGAGACCAGCCTGGCCAACATGGTAAAACCTCATCTCTACTAAAAATACAAAAAAAATTAGCCAGGTGTGGTGGTGTGTGCCTGTAATCCTCAGCTACTCAAGAGGCTGAGGTGGGAGGATCGCTTGAACCTAGGAGGTGGAGGTTGCAATGAGCTGAGATCGTGTCACTGCACTCTAGCCTGGGCAACAGAGCAAGAATCTGTCTCAAAAAAACTAAAAATAAAATTATAATGAGTTACCTGTATTTGAAAATTATTTCATACAGAGATCTTGATATCTCTGGATCTCCTGAAAAGTCAGAAGCCCTGGTCAGGTGGACCCGGGTTCCTAGGTGGCAACCAGCCCTTTACTACTTCAGCTCTTCCAGTCCTTATTCAGCCAGCATCATTCATTTACCTGCCCAGCCCCTGTGGGTGTGTGGGTTCATGACTCTAATCTCAGGAAATACTCATAATCCTGAAAGGGGATGCTATTACCTTCGTTTCACAAAGGAAGACAGAGAAATTAAAGAATCTGTCTGGATTACACAACCTCTAAGTGGTGGGGCTGAGATTCAAACCAGGGTGTGTCCTGCTCCAAGGCCCAGACTCTTCCCACCACTCGGTCCTGCTGCTCAGCTGTGCTCCAGGGAGTCACTCCCCACTGTGGACCTCAGTTTCTTCTTCTGTCAATGGCAAGAATGACTTCTGCACTGTAGAGGACCCCATGAGTGCCTCCAAGAGGGCAAACAGGCAAGCACTTTTTAAACTCTGGCAAGACCCTTGGCCTGAGGTAGAAGAAAAAACCCACCTTCTTGGGCAGGAAGTGAACCCCAACGGGGTACTTGTCAGGGTGAGTCCACAGCTCGATCTGTGCCATCACCTGGTTGGTGAAGGAGTTACTCATCACGAAGCTGGGGTGGCCCATGGCACAACCCAGATTGACCAGCCGACCCTCTGCCAGCAGGATGATGCGGCGCCCATTCTTCAGCCGGTACCGATCCACCTACATGCAAGCAGAGTGACAGTGAGGGCTGGCGGGGCCCTGCTCCTACAGCCCACCCCTGCCACAGCCCATCCTCTGGTCAGGCAGGCTTCACTGCCTCCAACAGTGCCCATGAGGCATCTGAACTGCCCCAAAACAACCTCTAGCACATGGCCTGACACAAACAGTAACAGCCGATATTTATTAAGAAACACTGAGCTGCAGAACACACAGTTCTGCTATTAAAACTTTATGTGCTGACACTTGTAACATGCGTGGCACATGAGGTACTTAGTAAGCAGCAACTAATGTTATTGTTCTGATTACTGTCGTGTGCCCTGTACTAAGTCCTTTACAGGGGATTATCACATTTCTTCCCAGAAACAAGCCTATGATGTCAGTACTGCTGTCATCCCGATTTCAGACTCAGAAAATGAAGTTTACAAGGGTTAGGTCACTTGTCCAGAGCCACACACTAAGAGGTGGAGCAGTTTGAGTCTGGAAGGTCTGAGGACATATCCCATGTTCTCAGTAACCATGGAACAGTTCAATGCAGTTTAGTAAAACTTAGTAAAAGCTGTGGTGGGGCGCAGTGGCCTCATGCCTGTAATCTCAGCACTTTGGGAGGCCAAGGCAAATGGGTCACGAGATCAGGAGTTCAAGACCAGCCTGACTAACATGGTGAAACCCGGTCTCTACTAAAAATAGAAAAATTAGCTGGGTGTGGTGGCATGTGCCTGTAGTCCCAGCTACTCAGGAGGCTGAGGCACGAGAACCGTTTGAACTCGGGAAGCAGAGGCTACAGTGAGCTGAGATCGTGCCACTTCACTCCAGCCTGGGCAACAGAGCAAGACTCCATCTCAAAAAAAAAAAAAAAAGCTGAATGCTGTGGCACTCACATTGGAATCACCTCAGAAGCTACCTGGCCTCATTCCCAGAGATTCCTATTCTCTACCCTGGCCTCATTCCCAGAGATTCCTATTTGTGTAACCCACAGTGTGGCTCCCAGGTGACTACCAGGTTGAGAACTCTCGGTTTAGTAGGTAAGTGAATATGAAGTGTAAAGCTCCGGCCTCAGTGCCCCAGTCCTCCATCTGTCCCAGCTGTCTGAACACACAAACTTGTTTTCTTACCACTCTCAGCTCTTCCCTTGCCATCTCTCCGCCCTCACACAGCCTCCTGAACAATTCCCCAAAAGCCCAGGTTTCCAAACTGCTTCAGAGGCCTAGTACCAGTCCAAGGAAAGGTCTCTGATGTCCATCAAGCATTGATTAATGCTTCAGCCAATAAGCACTCACTGATACCCATCTAAGCCCCTTGCAGAGACACATCAACCTGGACTCTACCCTCCTGATACAACAGTTGGGGCAGAGACCAAAGCCAGTGATGGATGCTGCACTAGGTGTCTATAGTAGAGTGTGGGCATTGCCTCTGCCAGAGAAGCTGGCCAGGAAAGGGGTCTCTTTTTATTAATTTTTTTTTTTTAATGGAGTCTTACTTTGTTGTCCAGGCTGGAGTGCAATTGTGTGATCTCAGCTCACTGCAACCTCCACCTCCCAGGTTCAAGCAAATTTCCTGCCTTAGCCTCTGGAGTACCTGGGACTACAGGCACAGCCACCATGCCCGGCTAATTTTTTGTATTTTTAGTAGAGATGGGTTTTCACCATGTTGGCCAGGCTGGTCTCCAGCTCCTGACCTCAAGTGATCCGTCTGCCTCGGCCTTCCAAAGTGCTGGGATTAATGGTGTGAGCCACTATGCCTGGCCAGAAGGGGATCTCTTGAGCTGGGCTAAGAAGATGGATAAAGAAAAGGCTATATGTTCTGTTCCAAACAAACGGAGCTGTCTGGACAAATGAGCAGAAGCAGGAGCTACAGTAGGTATTCAGGGAGTGGTCAAACACAGCTGAGTGCAGAGATCCGTGAGAGGACAGATAAGAGATAAAGCTGGGCAGAAAGCTGGCAAGACTGTCAAGGATGTTGAGGGTGGGAAGAGTCCAGCTTTGGAGGGCAGCTTGGCATCTGCCCAAGTACCTGGGCATCCTGGCAGATGCCCATCACCCCAGTGTAGCCCTGTGATGCCTTTGCAGGAGGAGGTCTGGCTGGCTCTCAGGGGTGTGGCTGCCATGGAAGCATGCCCTGCCCACCCCCACACTGTGATGAGTGCCAAGCCTTCTAGGCAGAGATGGAGGTGCCCTCTGCATAGCCAGGAATTGACTCCCTAGACTAGCGCAGGACCTAGCCAGGGAGAACTCCCACACAGAAGCAGAGAGCCAGAGGGGAGCAGTGTAAGGGATGTGGGTTCACAGAGCTGGCTGGCTGCCTCTCTGGGACTTGGGCTTCTGTGGCTGTGACTGGGTGGATGTCAGGGCTTTGGCCAGCTCTGTGTTTATATCTTCCATACCATATCTCAAAGATAGCACAGCATCAACTCAAAGAACCTCACATTAAGTGGGCTTTTCTCCCTTTAAAAAATGTGATGAGCCTGGTGCAGCAGCTCATGCCTATAACCCCAGCACTCTGGGAGGCCAAAGCAGCAAGATCGCTTAAGCTCAGGAGTTTGAGACCAGCCAGGGCAACATAGCAAGACCTTGTCTCTACAAAAAATAAAAAATTAGCCAGGTGTAGTAGTGCACACCTGTAGTCCCAGGTACTTGGGAGGCTGAGACAGGAGGATCAGCTCCTTCAGCCCAGGAGGTCAAGGCTGCAGTGGGCCATGATCATGCTACTGCCCTCTAGCTTGGGTGACAGAGTGATCCCATCTCAAAAAGAAAAAAAAAGTGATGAATATCTCAAACACTTAATTATCTACTGAGGATCAATTACAGGAGAGATTGCCCAGTCAAAGAGTTTGCTTAACTTTTTTTTTTCCTTTTTTTTGAGACAGAGTCTTGCTCTGAGGCCTAGGCTGGAGTACAGTGGTGCAATCTTGGCTCACTACAACCTCTGCCTCCTGGGTTCAAGCGATTCTCCTGCCTCAGCCTCCTGAGTAGCTGAAACTACAGGTTTGCACCACCACGCCCGGCTAATTTTTGTATTTTTAATAGAGACAGGGTTTGACCTTGTTGGCCAGGTTGGTCTCAAACTCCTGACCTCAAGTGATCTGCCCGCCTTGGCCTCCCAAACTGCTGGGATTACAAGTGTGAGCTACCGTGCCAGGCCATGTTTGCTTAACTTTAAAGCTCTTGATATCCAAAGCCAAAATGTCTTCCAGAAACATACTACTTTTATAATCAGAGAAAAAAATGTACCCACAATAATTACAACTCAAGTAAACTGTCATACCCCCAACAAGAACTCTTCTTCCAGTTTCAGTGCCCCAGTGCAAACCTATTCTTTCCCAGCTCAGTGCATGGGCCTGCTCCTCACACAGTGGTCAACCTCCTGACCTCAGGTGATCCGCCCGCCTCAGCCTCCCAAAATGCTGGGATTACAGGCATAAGCCACTGCGCCCAGCCCAGCTAATTTTTTTTGTATTTTTAGTAGAGATGGGGTTTCACCATCTTGGCCAGACTGGTCTCAAACTCCTGACCTCTGGTGATCTGCCCATCTTAGCTTCCCAAGGTGCTGGGATGACAGGTGTGAGCCATGATGCCCGGCCAAAGCTGTGTCCTTTGTGACTCTACCTTCATCCTGACCCCACATGCCGTCCATCCATCCCCAGCACTCCCCAAGGCAGCCATCGTCCCCTGCAGGGACTGTAAGAGCGTCCTCCAAAAGCCTCCCTCCCCACCACTCACTGTCATTGCTTTCATTCTGCACAAAGTAGCTAGAGTGATCTTTCTAAAACTACAGCCTCACCGCATACAGCTCACCTGCCTGATAACCTTCAGGGATGCCGGCTGCCCTCGAGATAAGGTTGCCATCTCCAGCTGGCTCCGACACTAGGCCCTCTTCTCCCCATCTCACTGCACAGGTTGCCAGTCTCCTCAGCTCCCCTCCCTGGCAGCCAGCACTCCTGTGTGTTCCCATCTGCCCAGCCCGCGGATGAGAACTTCTCACCTGTGGCTTGATGTTCACCTTCTCCACAGCATTCTCGTTGAGCCACTTGACATCAATCTCCACATCAAAGTGTCCAATGTTACACACGATGGCATCATCCTTCATTTGCTCAAAGTGCCTGTCAGGCAGCCCAAGACCATGGGAGATTATCAGGGACAAAGAGCTGTCCCAACCCTGCCCTCCTCCCTCACTCCCCAGGACCCCCAAGGGGCACCTACCGGCCAAGGATGATGTCAACACAGCCTGTGGTGGTGACGAAGATATTGCCCTCCTGACAGGCCTCATCCATGGTGGTCACCTCATAGCCTGTGCAGAGACAGTGGCTGAGAGTCATCTACGGTGCCCATGCCCCTCCCTCCGGCCGCAGTGGCTGACAACCAACGCTTGCTCTATCCTACCCTCCATGGCGGCCTGCAGTGCGTTGATGGGGTCAATCTCGGTGATAATGACGCGGGCCCCGAAACCCCGCAGGGCCTGGGCACAGCCCTTGCCCACATCGCCATAGCCTGCTACCACTGCTACCTTGCCGGCAATCATCACGTCTGTGGCCCGCTTGATGCCATCTATGAGGGACTCCCGGCAGCCATAGAGGTTGTCAAACTTGCTCTGAAAGGAGAGGGAGTAAGGAGACAGTGGGGGCCTGCAGGGCCCTGGGGCCAGGACCACTTGGCCTCGGAGTACTCGGAAGAGCCCAGGCATCGTGCACCCACTGAGCATCCCAGCCTGGGTGGAAACCCTCTAGCAGCCAATACCCCCACACGCCCTTCACCCCGATCGGCTCCAAGACCTTCTCTCTAATCCTTCTCTGCTGGTTTGGAGCCTTCCTAGGGGCCAGTTACCAGGAGAGATTGCCTGGTCAAATACTTTGCTTAACTTGAAAGCTCTTCTTCCCAAAGCCATAAAGCTCCTAACACCCAGCTCTGAGACCTCCTTCTAAATGCACTCATTAGCCTTGGTCTATAACCGCTTTTGCCCCCTCAAATGAGGGCTTCATGTCCCTAGCCTCAGCCTTCCCGGACACTCTTCTTCAGAGGCCTCGCATTGAGCTGCAGCCACTGCAGTGGGAGCCGTCACTGCCCCCGGCTCACCTTGGTGACAGAGTCATTGACGTTGATAGCAGGCACCTTCAGGATCCCATTGGCCATCATCTTGTAGAGGTTGTGGACCCCAGTCGTGGTCTCCTCGGAGATGCCTCGGATGCCTAAACAAGAGGGAACAGGACAAGCCTCAGAGACACCTCACCTGAGAGCATGCAAATTCCTCATCTTTGCCGGCTAAAGTCATTCCTCTTTCTGGGTTCCCATATCTGTGACTGATCCCACAGGTCCCCCAATCACCCAGACCAGTATAAGCAAGGAGTCACCGACGCCCTCCTAGGGAAAGCCACCGCCAGACCTAGTGACTCTGCCTCCCAACTCTCCATTCGCACTGCTGCTGCCCTAGGCCCTGACCCTGTCTCCTGCCACAAGACATCCTCCATGCAACAGCCATTTCTAACGTGTCTTCTCAGAGAAATCTAAATGCCCTCCAATTATTTCCCCTTGCACTGCAAATTTAGGCCTGAACACATCTGGCCTTCATGAAAGCTCACACCATATCCCATAATACCCCCCAGTGAAGGCTCCCTTTGTTCACTGCTATCCTGCGGGCCTCTTTCTGTTTCCTGAACACTCCAGCTTTTTCTGCATCCAGGCCTCTGTACTCCCTGTACTCCCTGTGCCTGCTTTGAACAAAGCTGGCTCCCTCTCAGCTATTCCCAGCCACGGCCCTGTGTCTGCCATTGGACTGTCAGCTCAGCCACCCTTGCCTCACACTCTGAAGTCAGGAAGCCCCGGCACGAGGTATCCCGACCATCAGCCCTGGTCAGTCTGTGAAGGAGCTCTGTACCACCCTCTCCTCTCTACCTATGGTTGGTTAGAAGAAATCTTGAATGTCCTCTTTAATCACTGGGTCAGATCTAACCACTCCCCTCCCTAAGGCCCAGAGCCTGCCATCCTCCCATCTAGATTCTGCTGCTTGAGGCACTGGGAGTCCTGCCAGGCCTGCAGCCATTATGTGAGCAAGCAGGCCTCATCCAGTACCCAGCCCACCTACCCCACCCTTCTTACCCGGCAGGAGCTGTGGGTACTTGGTGTGGATGAGGTTGGTGAGGTCGCCTCCATCATCCAGAATCATGTTGAGGGGCCCGTCCTTGAAGTACAGCGTCTGCTCAATGCACCACAGGTACTCCTCATCTGTTTCGCCCTTCCAGGCATACACTGGAGGGTGAGTGGCATATCAGGGCTTGGACTTCCCCAACCTGTACCTGTTCCTGGGAGCAACCCTGGCAGAGTCAAAACTACCTCCTTCTCAATTCCCATCCTCAGCCACCTCTGGCCCCTCTGGGGACTCAGCAGTGATAAGAATACAACTTGGAGCCAGATAGATCTGGGTTCAAATCCTGGCTCTGTCACTTGCCAGCTGTGTGATCTTGGGCAAATCACTTCACCTCTCTGAGCCTCAGTTTTCTCCTCTATAAATAGGGCTTAGAACAGTATGGATTAAGTGAGATGGAAGCCATGTATAGCCCCCAGATGTAGATATCAGGAAATAATTATTTCCTCTCCCATCCCCTTCTGCCTGGGCCCCAAGGACTAGGCATCAACCTTGAGTGACCAGGGCTCCGTGCCCCACGATGCCTCCCCGTCAGCTGGATCCACGAGGAAGGATCCAGGGTTTGCTCTGCACTGAAAGGCCTGTAGCACCAGCAACCTCTGGGATGGGGGGTGTCTCGGGCAAAGTTCGGCCAAAAAATGACTAAGCGCAGCTACCATATATGGGGCACTTGCTTTCTGCCGAACATGACTCCAAATCCTTCATGTCCCATCTCGCTTTTCCTCATAGAGACCCTGTGAGGCAGCCGTGACCATTATCAGCACTTACAGATGCCTAGCGGGGGGCTGAGACGTACTTGAGCCACTCCACATGAAATTCCAGAACAGACACCGGAACTAAGGGCTGCTGACTGCCAGTCCACGCTCCTCCCATGTGGCATGACTAGGGCACAGGTGTGAGGTTCCCAGGAGCCTCTTGTGAGCAAAGGTCGCTGGCCAAGCAGAGCCAGCTTCTCCTCCCCGCAACTGGAGCAGACAATGGTCTTAAAAATTGCAGTGAGCTAGGGCCGGGCGCGGTGGTTCACGCCTGTAATCCCAGCACTTTGGGAGGCTGAGGCGGGTGGATCACGAGGTCGAGAGATCGAGACCATCCTGGTCAACATGGTGAAACCCCGTCTCTACTAAAAATACAAAAAATTAGCTGGGCATGGTGGCACGTGCCTGTAATCCCAGCTACTCAGGAGGCTGAGGCAGGAGAATTGCCTGAACCCAGGAGGCGGAGGTTGCGGTGAGCCGAGATCGCGTCATTGCACTCCAGCCTGGGTAACAAGAGCGAAACTCCGTCTCAAAAAAAAAAAAAAAAAAAATTGCAGTGAGCTGAGATCAAACCACTACACTACAGCCTGGGCAAAGGAGCAAGACTCCATCTCAAAAAAAAAGAAAAGAAAACAAGGCCTTTCCCAGAAGAAAGCCATGGTGCCCAGCCAAGGCTGAGGAATGGGGACCATGCCCATTCAGCCCTGGTCAGTCTGTGAAGGAGCTCTGTACCACCCTCTCCTCTCTACCTATGGTTGGTTAGAAGAAATCTTGAATGTCCTCTTTAATCACTGGGTCAGATCTAACCACTCCCCTCCCTAAGTCCAAGCAGACATGTGCCCAGCCTGTGAAAACTCCTTTCTCATTAGTCTTAGTCCTTCCTCAGTCCTTTAACCGACGTACCCTAAGTAGTGAATCTTTTTCTGCCCTGTAGACTTCCCCAGTTCTTTAGAAACAGATCCACATCCTTCCTTTAATTAACTTCCCTTCCTCTACATCATGTAGTTCCCAATACAGTAATAAGATCTTGCCCTTCCTGGTCACATGGCTTGAGTTGGGTCAAAAAACAACTTCCACAGGATTTTAGATGACGATGGGACAAAGCAGCTCTTTCCTGTGGGTGGCTGGGTAGGATTTTGTGGCCGTGACTCCTCTCTCCTGCTGTAGTTTAAGGAAGTCTGTTGCTGTAGCAGTCAGTGAAGCAAACAGAGCAGAGCCCCTTCATAAGTCCCACATGTCCCAGCAGTAAGCAGGACTCACCTGGAATGCCAGCCTTGGCAATGGCAGCTGCCGCATGGTCCTGGGTGGAGAAGATGTTGCAGCTGGACCACCGCACCTAGAAAGAGCCGTCAAAACAAGGCTATTGGTCACTGATGGCTCAAAAGCACCAGGAACGCTGGGCAACGAAAAGGGAGAGCACTTCAGGTGGGGGAGAGGCTTGGGATCTAGGCACAGCAAGCTCTAGGATCACAGGCTGGGGACGCTGGGTGGGTAGATGGGAGCCAGGCAGTGACGAGATCCGACTCAGCTTTTTTTGTTTTTTTGGGTTTTTTTTGGATACAGCTTCATTCTTGTTGCCCAGACTAGAGTGCAATACGCGATCTCAGCTCACTGCAACCTCCAGCTCCAGGGTTTAAGCAATTCTCCTGCCTCAGCCTCCCTAGTAGCTGGGATTACAGGCATGCCCCACCACGCCTGGCTAATTTTTTGTATTTTTAGAAGAGATGGGGTTTCACCATGTTAGCCAGGATGGTCTTAATCTCCTGACCTCATTATCCACACGCCTCGGCCTCCCAAAGTGCTGGGATTACTGGTGTGGGACACTGCGCCCAGCCCCGACTCAGGTTTTTACGCTGGTGCTGCGTGGAAGAGAAAGGGCGGAAACAAGGGCACAACTGGAGAGACTGTTGGAGAAGACTCCAGGCAAGAAACATGACAGCAGCAGTGGCGGTGATGAGAAGCTGTCCCAGCCTGGGTCGACTCTGAAGGCAGCACTGGCAGGATTTGCTGAGGGATGAGCTGTTGAAGTAAAAGGGTTTGGGAGCAGGGAGGAAAGGGTGGGGAAGAGATGACTCTCAGATTCTTGAACTGAGGGAACCTAGAAGGCTGGGGTGAAAATTCCATTTATTCACATAGGGAAGAGGAGGGGGCAGGCAATCCTGAGTCCGTTTGAACGTGTTCTGCCGGAGACGAGTACTAGACCTCCAGGTAGCGTTAACACCCCCGCTCCTGGATATGCCAGTCTGGAGCTCCAGGAGAAGTCCAGGCTAGTACAAAAATGTGGGAGTCATCACCAGATAGATGGTATCTAAAGCTATACAATCAGACCAAGAGTGAATGCTGAAAGGAAAGGTCCAAGGACTGAACCCTGAGTCCCTCTGTGGGTTCTGGCTGCAATGCCCTACCCTGCTTTGGGAAACCAGCTTGCTTCTTGACTCTCTGAGACCTTAGGAGACATGTCAATCATTGGCACACATGACCCAGGCTGAAAATCAGAGCTGCCATCATCCTGGCAGCCATGATGGGTCCAGGGCAGGCCTCTGACCTCCAGGAGGGCCAAGGCGAGCAGCCCCTTATAGGATTAAGTGGGACATAGGAGTTGAGTTTTTCCTGCCAGAGCATCAAGCAGGAGGATGCCTTGAGGGCAGCCAACAGTTACCTTCCTGCCAGGGAGAAAATCTGTACAACACTCACCACAAAAGATGGCAGTACCGGGAAACAGGGAGGAAACCCAATGAGAGGGAGGAGCCCCGCCAGGCCCGGGGTCGGCACCACACCTGGACGGTCCCCACCCCCGTACAGTCGTCGTCTTCCCTGGCTGAACCCAGGGAGGGCAAGAACTCTGCGGTGATACAGCTGTGGGCCTCACCTCAGCACCCAGGGCGACCAGGGTCTCAATGAGGACGGCCGTCTCCACCGTCATGTGCAGGCAGCCGGCGATGCGCGCGCCCTTCAGCGGCTTGGAAGCTGAGTACCGCTCACGCATGCGCATCAAGCCCGGCATCTCGTTCTCCGCAATGTTCAGGGCCTTGCGTCCCCAGTCAGCCAGGCCGATGTCAGCTACCGAGGGAAACAGGTGGGAGTTGGGTAAGCCTCCTCGGCAGTCACTGTGTGGACCTCGGTCCACGTGTGGACTCAACACACTAGGGCTTAGCACTCTGTCACCGCGTTCTCTAACTCGTTCAGTAAGTATTTATGAATCCAGGCTACTCGAGAAAGACAAGGTCCCTGCCTACCTGCACCTTTCTGACTTGTGGGAGAACACATGTAATCAATCACACAGGGACACAAAAATTACAACACAAAGAAGCGCCCCTTTGAAAAACAGCTCAGATGATACTGCCCACTACCCTCCTTCCTGCGGACACCCACCAACCTCCAGGTCACTCCTCACTCCCTAAATATGTTCGCTGCTGGGTCTCCATCTTCCTCTCTGTCATCACTCTCGGTGATTCAACTCTCATAAATACTATCTAATACCTTGGATTTGACAGTTCCTTGAACTCCTTTTAGATGTGAAAATGCTTCCCCACTCTTTCCACCTGGAGGAACTCACCAGTATACTCTTGGCCTCTCTGCCCCAGTGGGGGTGGGGTGAGCTTGTCTGACCAGTAAAACTTAGAGGAATAAATGGTGTGCTCAGTTTAGCTCTCTTCTTTTTGCAAGCAAGTAGCCACCTGCCCACTTGCAGGAAGCCGCTGTTCTCTGCTTTTCCAGAGATCAACCTACCCTGGCCCACCTTGCCTGCAACTAACTGGTTGGGTAACAGCTGAATCTGGGAGTCCAGTCAGCAGAATCATTTGGATTTCATACTAATCTACATCGTCTGGCTTTGAGGTTATTAGAAATAAAAGGTGTATTTTGGGTGCTGTCTGCCACTTAAAATGTCTCAAATTTGTTCAAATTCTCAGGCAGGAAAGAAGGATACTATTATGAGCTAACTCACTATATCAATACTCTTCCCTCTGATCATCTCACCTTCCTCTCTCCCCTACCACACTAGTCCATTTCCAAGGTCATACCCTACCTAGGACAGTACCTAGATCAAAGTTTGCAGACTTCCCTAATAAGGGATGTTCCTTTGGCATGCTTGTAAATCTCCCCTGGGAAACTTGATTCAGCAGGTCTAAGACTCCCGATGATTTTTATCTTTAGGGAAGCTTCACCCAAAGAGGTAGATGGTGAGAGGCAAAGGACTCTGGAGAGAATTTAATAATCTAAGAATTTAATAATCAATAAAACTGTCTAAGTAAGTCAGCTTCCTACAGTGCATTGAAACAATTTCAGAGATGAAACGTGCCTCCCCCTTGAGAGAACACTCCTGCTGTGCCTCAACTCAAGCCCTTCTCTGTACCACCCTACCCCATCCCTCCTACCCTGGTAGGCCATCTCCAATGATAGCACTCCTTGGAAATCTGGACTTCAAGCACCCAACTCTAGCCACGTCTCATCTTTCTAGTTTTCTCCCTCTAGAGCCCCAGCTCCAACAAGGCTGTAGCCTGTCAGGTCAGAACTTCTATTCCACTCATCCTACCAGTTTCTACTGTCCCTTCTGCCTTCTGCCCTCTTTCCCTTTGAGAACTTACTTGGCAAAACTCTCAGCCCAATTAAACCTGACCCTCTACTGCACCAGAGCCACTGAACCCAGCAGGAGGACAATCACAACCACACCAAGACATCACATTGATTCATTCATTCACTCATTCATTTATAGAAGAAGTCTGGCTCCGTAGCCCAGGCTGGAGTGCAGTGGTACAATCTCGATTTACACTGCAACCTCCGCCTCCTGGGTCCCAGTTCAGGCAATTCTCCTGCCTCAGCCTCCCTAGCTGGGATTACAGGAACTTGCCACCACGCTTGGCTAGTTTTTGTATTTTTAGTAGAGACAGGGTTTCAGCTTGTTGGTCAAACTGGTCTCGAACTCCTGACCTCATGATCCACCCACCTCGGCCTCCAAAAAGTGCAGGGATTACAGGCATGAGCCACTGTGCCCAGCCAAGACATCACATTTATTAAAACCCTAAAAGACACGGCCGGGCACAGTGGCTCACGCCTGTAATCCAGCACTTTTTGGATGCCGAGGCAAGGGGCACAAGGTCAGGAGTTTGAGACCATCTGACCAACAAGGGGAAACCCCGTCTCTACTAAAAATACAAAAACTAGCCAAGCATGGTGGCACACACCTGCAATCCCAGCTACTTGTAATCCCACTTACATGTCCTCTTTCCGGAAACTCTTTCTTTACTTGGCTTCTGCTACTCTGTCCTCCTGTGCTTTTCCGCCTACCTTCCTGGTTCCTCTTCAGATAACAGACTCTAATATTAGTTTGGGAGCCCTCAGGGCTCCATCATCTCCTGTTCTCTAATGTTTACCAATTACGCTCATCCAGTCTCACAGCTTTACATACCTTCTCTGCAGGGTTCCCACATATCTATCTCCAGTCCAAACCACTCCCCTGAACTTGAGACTCAATTTGATCCAACTGTTTCTACAGCACCTCCATTTGGATGTCCAACTGGATTTATCGTGTCATGCTTGAGCCCTCATGACTCCTTGCCCTGCTACTCCTTACTCTCCCAATCTTCCCATTTTAGGAAATGAAACCACCATTCAACCAGCTACTCTGGCCAAAAACTTAAGATTTGATTTCTGTTTTTCTCTTCTGCCTCAATTAGCACGTTTTTGGCTCAACAAGCAAAATATACAAGGAATCCAACTGCATCGCACCACCTTCATCTAAACTGTCACTTCTTAGGCCAATCATGGTGGATGACTCCTGTAATCCCAGCATTTTGGAAGGCCAAGGCAAGTGATCACTTGAGGTCAGGAGTTCGAGACGAGCCTGGCCAACATGGTAAAACCCCATCTCTACTAAAAATACAAAAAAAGTAGCCAGGCATGGTGGCTTGCACCTGTAATCCCAGCTACTTGGGAGGCGGAGGCAGGAGAATTGCTTGAACCCGGGAGGCGGAGGTTGCCGTGAGTGGAGATCGCACCACTGCACTCCAGCATGAACGACAGAGCAAAACTCCATCTCAAAAAAAAAAAAAAGAAGAAAAGAAACAGTGCACCAGGATGATTCAAATAGAGTGGGTAAGATGAGTCAGGACTTCAGTCCCAGCAAAGTAGGGAGCCTACGGTTTTTAGGGAGTCAGCATTCAAAGACCAGATTTGTTTTTTGAAAAGACCCCATTGGCTGCTGTGTGGATCTCTGCAGCAAGAGATCCAGGGAGACCCACAAGGAGAGAGACCAGAACTGGGGTAGTGACTATGGAGACAGACAAGTGTCAGATCTGCTCACATAAAATGGAGACAATACTACTTTATCTGTATGTATGCCTGTGCCACCCCTGTCCTTGGGTCACCTATGTGTCTACAGCACGGCCTTGCGCTGGAAACACAACTGTTTACTGATCATCTCTGTCATCAGAACTGAATGAAAGATCCATGAAAGGGGCTGGCACGTGACACGGGGAAAAACAACACAAATCTGAACCTAGTCCGAGTCCCAACATTTACTAATGAGGAAAGAACTCAGACTGCAGAGAGAAGTCTGCCACAGGTTCCATAGCCAATTAGTGGCAGAAGCATAACTGACAGCCAGGTAGGGCTAGAGCAGAGGCCCCTCTCAAGGCCTTCCTCGGAGGGGCCAGGCTATATGGGAAAATGGGTTATGCCCTGTGCTGCTATGCTCCACTCCTTCACCACTACATGTCCCTCCAGCTAAAAATAGCTCCTTCAGTGCCCTCGAGGACACTGTGCCAGTCCCACAGTTTTCTGTGGGACCCTCAACTCCAAGGGCACAGGAGAGGCTAGATGCTCCAATCGCTGGAGCTAAGGACTTGCAGAAGTCACAGGAGCAACTGTCCCTAGGACAAGCCAAGAAGAACAGCAAGAACCCCTCTAAACATCAGTTTCGTCATCTGTAAAATGAGGATAATCATCCCTAGCTTACATGCGCCCTAAGTAAAGAAGATGCCATATGATCAAGATCTGGCACACAGCAGAGCCTCCTTCCTCCAGCCCCATCCTGCTAAGCTCCTCCTCTCCCAAATCCAGCTTTATCTCCACCTACAAAACCCAGTGCCCCCAATCCTGACCCACTAATCTCTCCACAGTATGACAAGCCCCATTCCAGCTCTACTACTAATATGACCTTGACATAACCTTTCTGGGTTCAGTTTCATCATCCACACAATGGAGACAGTCTACTCTGGTAGCAACTTGAATTATTTCAACAGAATCTTTGCAAGTCACTTCCCAGGGGCCTCAATTTCAAGCTCTATATAACAGGATAACGTCCACCTCTACGAAGATTATTCTGTAAATACATGTAAATCACCAGATATACAACAAGTGTCCCATAAATGTGGATGCTGTTCTCCAGACTTAATAGTGTGTGTGTGTGTGTGTGTGTGCGCGCGCGCGCGCGCGCGTTTTGTTGTTGCTTTTGTTTTTGAGATGGAGTCTCGCTCTGTCACCCAGGCTGGCGTGCAGTGGCGCGATCTCTGCTCACTGTAACCTCCACCTCCTGGGTTCAAGTGATTCTCCGGCCTCAGCCTCCTGAGTAGCTGCAGTTATAGGCATTCACCACCACACCCAGCTAATTTTGTATTTTTTAGTAGAGATGGAGTTTCATCATGTTGGTCAGGCTGGTCTCAAACTCCTGACCTCAGACGATCCACTCACCTCAGCCTCCTGGCTGGAGTGCAGTGGGGAAATCTCTGCTTACTGCAACCTCCGTCTCCCACATTCAAACAATTCTCCTGCCTCAGCCTTCCGAGTAGCTGGGATTGCAGGCGCCTGCCACCACACCCAGCTAACTTTTGCATTTTTAGTAGAGACAGGGTTTCAAGACCACCACATTAGCCAGGCTGGTCTCGAACTCTTGACGTCAAGGTGGCCCACCTCCACCTCCCCAAAGTGCTGGGATTACAGGTGTTAGTCACCACGCCCGTTCTAATTGTGTCAAAGTTACTTGAATAGCTACTAGCCAAACTTAACTGGTATTTGCTGAAAACCCAATAGGATTGTTCCGCGTGTATTTGCTTGCACACAGTGGAGAAAAGGGTGGTGCGTCACAGGTCTAGATGGCCTGCGTTCCAATCTTGCTCCATCACCACCAGCTGTAAGACTGGGGGCAAGTTACCTCTGTCTCAGGATTCTCATCATAAAACGGTAACAGTCTCCCTAGAGAGCCATGAAAATAGAATAAAGCTAGAAGGCAGTGCCGAACCCACAGGAAACGCCAAGTAAATGTTAACTATCCCTGGATCACACTTCAATCGGTGGGACAGCAGGATTTTTCTAACCACTCCTGCTGGCGGGGTGGGGGATCCCACAGGTTGGGTAACTGGCCCAAAGTCCCCGGGGAGAGGACCGGAGCCGGCCTGGGGCTCGCTTTCCAGGCCTCTCCTCATACACCCTCCGAAGCTCCAGTGCCCTCGCCATCCCTGTAGGAGGCCCAGAGAGGGGTGGACCCTCGTCGGGGCCGCCCAGCTGGACAGGGTCCGGTCCAGGCACAGAAGGCAGGGCGCAGGCCCCCTGAGCAGAGTCCGGCAGGTGTCCGCCGTTCCAGGCCGCGGCCAGGCGTGCTCTCCCAAGGAGCACGCCGCCAGTTTGCGGCTCACAGCCCGCGCGGCCGCCCCCGACATCGCGGGGCACGCTGGGACTCGTAGTCAGCGGCCACCCAGGAAGGTCAGCTTACGGCCGCACGAGAACTCCAACTTCCAGGTGGCTTGGCGCGGCCAGGAATGCGCCGAGCCTGTGATTTCAGGGGGTCCAGAGCGCCCGGAGTCGGCCCTACGGTCCCCGCCCCGAGCACGCGCCGGGTGGGCGCCGAGCAGCGGAAGCCGGCTGCAGGTCCTGGGACTCACCGACTTTGTAGGGCAGTTTGTCAGACATGCTGGCGACGCTGGTGACGGGCACTGGCGAAGGGGGCTGGGCTTCAGTCAGAGAACAGGCACTGGGCGGGCGACGCGGGGCAGGGATATGCGCTTGCCGCCGGCTCCTTTAAATATCTTCCTGGTACTTGCATATTCATGAGCCGCTGGGGCGTGGCCCAACGCGCAGGGCGGGGCCAGAGAGGATTTCGATCTCTGTCGAGAAGCCTCAGAATTTCGCAAGGCCTGGCCCCAGGGACCTCACGCACTGGTCCGAAAGGGAGCGCCGGGAGAGGCCTGAGACCCAGCCGGGCCGTCCTCTTGCAGGTTCAGCCAGTTAATTCAATGTCAAAACCAAGCGGAACTGAAATTCCGCTAGTTCACCTCCCTGTGCCTCAATTTCCTAATCTGTAAAATGGGCCGAATGACACCTACCACACAGATTATTACAAGTAAAGTTGCAGGCCAGGCGCGATGGCTCTCACCTGCAATCCCAGGACTTTGGGAGGCCAAGGTGGGAGGATCACTTGAGCCCAGGAGTTCAAGACCAGTCTGGGCAACATAGGAAGACTTCACCTCTACAAAAAAAAATTCTTTTAAATTAGGCGGGCGTTGGGGTTTGTACCTGTAGTCTCAGCTACTTGGGACGCTGAGGCTGAGGGAGGATGGCTTGAGCCTGGAGATCGAAGCTGCAGTGAGCTATCATCCTGCCACTGGACTCCAGCCTGGGCAACAAAGCAAGACCCTATCTCAAAACAAAAACAAAAACAAAGCAAAGTTGCCATTTGTCAGGTACCTACCTGACATCCCAAATATTCACCTTACCCCAAGTAACTACCACCCTGAATTTAGGTAAGTTTGCATGCATTTCTTATACTTTTACTGCATTATGTATGTCATTAAACAGTTCTTTCTGTGTTTAATACCTTTATATATCAACCGTATTTACCCTTCTGCAATTTGCTTTTCTCTGTGAGCATTTATTCCTGAGAGTCATGCATATAGCTTGAGTATATTCATTTTTCTGCTGCGTATTGTTCAGTGATCCCTAGGCATGGGAAGCCGGGATTGGTTTCAGGACCACTGTGGACTCCAAAACCCTTCTATGCTCTAGTCCCTCATATAAAATGAGGTAGTATTAGGCGAGGCGTAGTGGCTCATGCCTGTAATCCCAACACTTTGGGAGGCCGAAGTGGGTGGATCACCTGAGGTCAGGAGTTTGAGACCAGCCTGACCAATATGATGAAACCCCTGTCTCTACTAAAAATACAAAAATTAGCCAGGCATGGTGGCAGGTGCCTATAAGCCCAGTTACTGGGAAGGTTGAGACAGGGGAATCGCTTGAACCCGGAAGGCAGAGGTTGCAGTGAGCCAAGATCGCACTATTGCACTCCAGCCTGGGCAACAAGAGCAAAAGTCCATCAAAATAAAAAAGAAAGAGGTAGTATTGGCATATAACCTATGCATATTCCCCATACACTTTAATCATCTCTAGATTACTTATGACTAATAATTGTAAATGCTATGTAAATAGTTGTTTTGTAATTTATATTATTTTTATAGTTATGTTGGTTTTTTTAATGCTTTTTTTCCACTGAATTTTTTTTTTTTTTTTTGAGATGGCGTCTCACTGTTTTGCCCAGGCTGGAGTGCAGTGGCATCATCTAGGCTCACTGTAACCTCCGCCTCATGGGTTCAAGTGATTCTCCTGCTTCAGCTTCCTGAGTAGCTGGAACAACAGGCACTCACCACCATACCCGGCTCTTTTTTTTTTTTTTTTTTTTTTTTTTTTTCTGTTTTTGAGACAGAGTTTAACTCTTGTTACCCAGGCTGAAGTGCAATGGTGTGACCTCAGCTCACTGCAACCTCCACCTCCCGGGTTCAAGCAATTCTCCTGCCTCACCCTCCCAAGTAGCTGGAATTACAGGTGTGCACCACTACACGTGGCTAATTTTGTATTTTTAGTAGAGATGGGGTTTCACCATGTTGGTCAGGCTGGTCTTAAACTCCTGACCTCAAGTGATCCACCTGCCTCAGCCTCCCACAGTGGTTGGATTACAGGCGTAAGCCATTGCACCTGGCCTTGAAGACCTTTTTAACATCTATCTGGGAATTCCTCCACCCCTCATGCCACCCCCACCCTTGCCCTCAATCCTCCCAATGCCCTCCCCTCACCCTCCTGTCTCCTTTCTCCCCTTCTCAAGCTTTTTCAGAGATATCTGCATTCTCGGTCTGCTCTTCATCCTCTCCCATCCAGTTCTCAGCTGTGTGGCCTCCATCCCCAGGTCTCTGCTGAAACTGTTCCAGCCAAGGTCATCAGGGAACCTGTCAGAATGTCCTATGCCTGAGCCCGCATCCTCCCCACTGCATACCTCCTGCTCTGGCCTTAAACTCTCCTGACTCTCCTCCCATGGTTCCTTCTCCTGCAGCACCTTCAAGGGTTGGTGTTTCTTTTTTCCTCTTTCTCTGCTCTCTACCTCACACTTATGGCTGCTGTGGCCACTTACATCCAGTTGATCCATGGATCCGTGGAATAAAACACAGCCTCACCCCAGAAATCTTTTTTAAAGAGACAGAGTCTCATTCTGTCATCCAGGCTAGAGTGCAGTGACATAGTCATAGCCCATGGCAGCCTCAAACTCCTGAACTCAAGCAATCTTCCCACCGCAGGCTCCCAAGGAGCTTGCACTATAGGCATGTGCCACCATACTCAGCTAATTTATTTTATTTTTTGTAGAGACGGGATCTCACTTTGTTGCCCAGGCTGGTATTGAACTCCTGACTTTGAGGGATCCTCTTGTCTTGGCCTCCCAAGGTGTTGGGCCTGAGTCACTGCACGCAGCCCTGCTTTGCTTCTGAATCACATGCTCCTTCTTCCCACCCCTGGAGTTACCGCAACAGTGATTTTTGTCTTAATAATTCCTTTGCGAGCCGGGCGCGGTGGCTCAAGCCTGTAATCCCAGCACTTTGGGAGTCCGAGGCGGGTGGATCACGAGGTCGAGAGATCGAGACCATCCTGGTCAACATGGTGAAACCCCGTCTCTACTAAAAGTGCAAAAAATTAGCTGGGCATGGTGGCGCGTGCCTGTAATCCCAGCTACTCAGGAGGCTGAGGCAGGAGAATTGCCTGAGCCCAGGAGGCGGAGGTTGCGGTGAGCCGAGATCGCGCCATTGCACTCCAGCCTGGGTAACAAGGGCGAAACTCTGTCTCAAAATAATAATAATAATAATAATAATTCCTTTGCTTTTTTTTTTTTTTTAAGACACAGGGTCTCACTATGTTGCTCAGGCTAGTTTCAAATTCCTGGGCTCAACTTCCTTTTCTGTTCTTTTCTTTCTTTCTTTCTTTTTTTTTTTTTTTTTTTTTTTTTTGAGGCCATCTCCCTCTGTCACCCAGGCTGGAGTGCAGTGGTGCAATCTCAATGCACTGCAACATGCACCTCCTGGGATCAAGCGATTCTCATGATTACAGGTACACACCAACACACCTGCCTAATTTCATATTTTTAGTAAAGACGGGGATTTCACCATGTTGGTCCAGGTTGGTCTCAAACTCCTGACCTCAAATGATCCACCCACCTTGACCTCCCAAAGTGCTGCTATTACAGGCATGAGCCACCACACCTAGCCCTCTCCTATAGTGTCTTAAAGTTTGTTTTTTTTTTTTATTTATTTTTTTTATTTTTTTGAGATGGAGTTTTGCTCTTGTTACCCAGGCTGGAGTGCAATGGCGCGATCTCGGCTCACTGCAACCTCTGCCTCCTGGGTTCAGGCAATTCTCCTGCCTCAGCCTCCTGAGTAGCTGGGACTACAGGCATGCGCCACCATGCCCAGCTAATTTTTGTATTTTTAGTAGAGATGGGGTTTCACCTTGTTGACCAGGATAGTCTCGATCTCTTGACCTTGTGATCCACCCGCCTCGGCCTCCCAAAGTGCTGGGATTACAGGCTTGAGCCACCACGCCCGGCCATGTCTTAAAGTTTTATAAGTCAAACATGGATGTGGTGTGAGGTAGAAATCCTATCTTTTTTTTCCATACTAAGCAATTGTCCCTACAACACTTAATAAACAGTGCATCCTTCCCCCAGTGACCTGCAGTGCCATCTCCATCACTGATTAAGTGTCCATGAACACTCCAATCTGTGTCTATGTCTATTTTCTATTTGGATGCATTGATCTATGCTAATTTTACACTGTCAAAATTACTAGAGCTTCATAATAAATCTTGACTTCTCTTACCTGGTAAGAGAAGTCCCCCCACCTTGTTCTTTAAGAGTGTCTTAACTGTCTTAGGTGTTTACTCATCCATATAATTTTGGAATCATTTGTCAAGTTCTACAGGAAAAAGCATTTTTGGAATTTTTACTGAAATTGTATTCATATATAAATTATTTTGGGTGAGAATAAACATCTTTACATAATTAAATATTCTAATCGTTAACATAGTATGGTATATATATTTTTTTCTCCATTTATATAGATAGTCTATTTTCTTTTTTTTGAGATGGAGTCTTGCTCTTTTCACTCAGGCTGGAGTACAATGGTGCGATCTCGGCTCACTGCAACCTCCGCTTCCTGGGTTTAAGCAATTCTCCTGCCTCAGCCTCCCAAGTATCTGGGATTACAAATGTGAGCCACCACACCCAGCTAATTTTTATATTTTTGGTAGAGATGGGGTTTCACCATGTTGGCTGAGGCAGGTGAATTGCTTCAACCCAGGAGATGGAGGTTGCAGTGAGCCGAGATTGCACCACTGCAC